TAATTTACTTTTAGTCGCCAAAAACAAACTCTGTAGCGACTAAAATTTTCGTCGCCAAAGCTCATTTATAGTCGCCAATAGTATCATTAAGTTGTTTTGCATTAAAATAAAGAAAAGGAGCCGAAAGAGGAATCGGCCGAAAGCAGCAGCCGAAAGGTAAATATTAAAATATACCTATACATATTATATACATACTAACATATTAATATATTATAGTAATATATACAAACTATACTATGAGAGTAATATATTAATATATATGTTAACAATAATCCCTCGGAGAATCGTAGTCGTCCCTTGTGGAGATGTTCAAGCCTGCTTCCTTCATCCCTTCACTGAACGAGCGTGCTCCGATGAGTTTCCGGTTACAGTTAGAAGAGTTGAACTCCACACCAGACTCACAAGAACCGCGCCATCTCTCTGGAACAGGGGGCATTTCATCATCTCTGAAACTCTCACTCTCCGGCCAAATTCCAGTGTCAATAACGCCGACGATCATATCATCCCCAAAATTGGCTGCGGGCCATAACCCAACATTTGGTTCCAGGCCGAGAAACTTCGGGGTATGTGTAGTCTGAAGCTTTCCAAAGGTTTCTGGGTACGTGGCAACGTGACCAGGCATTTTCTCCAGCTGATCAAGTTGGGACTGAGACAGCACTGCACTAAAGCCATCCAAGACATGGTTGTAGGTATAAAGATGCGTTGGAAGAACACCATTCGGCGAAGACAGGGATGAGAGAGTTGACATATACCAACTATGATGATCTGGGAAAGGAGAAGGCATAGCTGATTTGTCCACGTGGATGATGTATGTCCTACGATCATCCGCAACAACAGCTGCTGACATGCCAACTAAAAGTAGGAAGAAACAAAGGAGCTTGAAAAAGAAAGAGCAATCCATTGTTGGGGAACACTGAAAACAGACAACTGAAATAGTTTAATCAGTACAATTACAATAAGTTTTATATACTGCTCTAGCAACTAAAGTCGAAGTGATGAAACCAACAAAAAAATCATAGAAAAAGCACTAGTGATTGGAGTTTCCATAATTACCCACCCAAAACTAAACATATCAGTTTGCACCTCCATCTGTGCAGATCATTTTCGATATCGCACCACAAACCATGCTGAACTACTGCATGATGGTATCAACAGAGTTCTACTATGCTAAGTGAATATATTCAAGATTTTGATTTAAAAAAAACAAAATAACAAAACAAAACTAGAGTAACAAATATATTAACAACAATGATTCATCCCACTAAAAACATCACCACTAATAGCACTAATGCATTAAAAAAGTAAAAAAAAAAAAAAAACACAATTCCAAGATCAAAACATCACATCATTAATGACGGAACTCACTGCCACCTTAGTGCTCCCAAACATTTTTCTTCCACCTAAACCCTTCACAATTCCACCTAAACCCTTGCTCTCCGTGATGTCACATCAATTTTTCACGGATGCATGATTGAAATGAGGTAAGAACATTACAGTCCATGATATGAAAATTTCGGCTAATAAAGTATAAAGGCTCTTGGGCAACCAATTTGCCGACTCTTTGTCGGCCTACTTTTTGTCGACCAACCTTTGTCAGTGCAACCCTTTTACGTTTTTTAGATTGGTTTGGAAAGTGAGTTCACTTTTTGATTTTTTAATATTTTTAACTATTTTAATTTGGGTTAAAAAATTTAGTTTGGGAATGAATTTTTTTTTTTTAATTTTTTTGACTTTTTTTATGAGAGAAAAGTGTAATAATTATAGGTTAGATGTGATGTTTTGTTTTTTGTGGCTAAAATAACTTATTTTATCTTTTGTGATTAAAATAGTCAAAAAAGCCCCATATTCTTCTTCCCAAACGGTGCCTAGCCATTTAAATGGTCCAACATGTGTAGTGGTTTTAATTCAAATTGCATCATTTCCTCCGCTTTTTCCGTTCTAAAATAATGGTCCCTTTCAAAAAATTTAAATTTTTTGATAATATTATTATTGTACTTTAAAGAAAAGTTAATTTTTCAAAATTATCCTTTGATAGTATATTTTTTTGAGAAATATCAATATCATAATTGTACTTTTTATATTATTTATGAATTTAAAAAAAGGACAAAATAAAAAATTTATATTATTTTTGTACTTGATTTTTGAAGAGAGACTAATATTTTGAGACAGATAGAATATCATATTTCATTCTTAACACATTTGATGTGACATGTTTGCATAACTTAAATATTAGGGTAAATTTCACTTTACTTTCTATAGTTTTGGCCATTTGTAGATTACTTTATGACATTTGAATATTACTACATAATTTTTCAGTGGTTGATCGATTAAAACGCACACTAACTTCTGTTAACAGAAATTATAAATTGACAATTATACCTTCATTCATTTTCTTCTCTCTCTCCCCATTTCGTCTTCATCATCTCACATATAGTTCACCCAGCGACATACACTTCACTTTATCATCTTTCACACAGTTAACAGAAGTTGTACATACACTTCATCATCTTTCATCTTCACAAACTATTGAAATTTATTGAAACAGTATGACACACACACACACACACATATATATATGGGTAAAATTCAAAATATATATGTATACATACAACAAATGCAAAATATATGTGGATAAAATTCAATATATATATACATATAGTAGATGCAAAAACAAAATGAATTTTTTTTTTTAAACATAACACAGATATATATATATATATATATGGATAAAATTCAAAATCGTGTTATTGAAAATGTTTGATGAATTGAAATTAGCTATTATATAATCTGTATACACATATATACATATTATATATATAGTTACATAATTTTCTCTCCCAAAGTCTCAGGCACCAGCATTTATTAACTTTTGTTAAATATAATCTGTAATTTGGACGATGGCAGCAAATACTCCGCCTATCATCCAACGAACTTAACCAATTGCTGTCCGTGAACCCATATAATTTGAAATTGAAAACTTTTGAGTACCAAATCCCATAATCCATAGTTCCAATGATGTAACGCAAGACCCGCTTTGCTGCTACAACATGAAAGTGTTAGGCTTTTATTCTTGACAATCCTTTTTGACAAAACTCCTTTTCAGTTGTACTTGTTTTCGTACTTTTATTTCAGTGAGGCTATGAGGTTTTAGATGTAAATCCAACCTGAATTGTGCCTTGCAGAGAAATTTGTGGTGCTAATTTTTTCATGATTGTCACTTCGCTGACTATGACGGGGATCAAGCTACTCGGTCAACTTGCGGGGGTCCAGAGGGCAACGCCCCTTGGTGGGTTCGGGGCAGCGCTACGGTAGGGTTGAAGGGCAGCGCCCACGAAGCAAATACAAAAATGCATTCAAAGTTACTTGTCCGCCCGAGCGAAGAATGTTGGGTTCTAGCAATTTGACTTGTCTGCAAATATACTGTCAAGCGTGTTTTTACATTCAAGTATCTATTTCTCCGCTCGAGTGTACATCCTGGTTTAGAACACGCGATGTAGAGTTTCCGCTCAAGCGTCCATTCTCACGCTCGAGTAGACCTCGCAATCTCAGCTTCTATAAAACCTCAAGTTGTTCCAAATCAAGGGTTATGTTTTTCAGATCTTTTTTGAGAGTTTTAGGGTTTTCTTTTGACGCTATTTTGCTAGTTTTCTTTGATGTTTAATTGAATATTCAACTCATGGTTTAAGAAGTATACATCAAATGATTGTTTGTTTATTCAATACAAAAGAGAGTATTGTTCTTTGGTGGATTCCGGAGAATTTGGGCCTGAAACTTTGGTGGATTCTGGAGTAGCTCATCATTGTTGAATCGACATCGACGTTGTGGATTCAACGTTAGCCAATACAATTTCGAGGTGAAGACGGGGCTGGAAGAGGCACATAGAGATTGGTTCAATTCAGGCGTGGATTCGCTAGGTAATTGAGAGTACACTTATGTAATTCCTTTATATCTTCTTAGTAGATTGTTTTGTGGCTCTTGCCCATGTTTGTTTTATCACAATTAGAGGCGCTCTAATTGTGATTTTTTCACGTAAAATCGTTGCGTCGATTTGTCTTGATTGTTTGATTGGGATTGTTATTTACTGTTTAAAATTGATACATAATCACAAATTAACATCAAGGAGATTTCTAGATTTTTCAAAAAGTTTAAAGGATATTGCATAAATCTGGAAATCATACCAACAGAAAAATGCAATATTGGGTCAAGTGTGGGTTAGATAAATTAAACCACCAACAAAGCTTCTGAATCTATTAGCATCAGCCATTTCTGCTCAATCTTCACACTGCAATTTTTCATTGATATTCATGGGTGTAGTTGCTGGTTTACAATTAAGCATGCCAAATTTATTAAAAAGATCCTTGGCATATTTTCTTTGGGAAATAAAAATCCCATCTTCTACTTGTTGAGTGGCGCTGAAATGGGATTGACCAGAGTTGGGTAGTAAGAAGCTCAAAAAATTTTGATGATAAGAAGATCAAACCATATTCAATAAGATCAAGCCATCTTTCATCTTCTTCTTCTTCTTTTTTTCTTTTTCTTTTTCTTTTCTTTTTCTTTTTTTCTTGGGAAGAAGTTTATAGATTTGATGGCATTGTTTACAAATTTGAAGATGCGCCAGGGGCATTTTCGTCTTAAAAATAGCGTTACTCTCCTTACAAGAGCGTGACTCTCACAGTGTGTTATTTTTAACGGAAAAGCTAACTGTGCATTTTAGTCCACAAACCACATGGAAGTTATGTGGTGATTTCCGAATGTCAGAGGGTAATCCGCACTTGGCTCAAACTACATGGGGTAAAGTGAAATTTGCCCTAAATATTAAAACATTTATATAAACGGTGGTACAAGATACACTAATTAATGTACTAATTAGTGTACTAACACTAATTATGACATTATTATTGACCCTACACATTATACAAATTACAAATATTATTTTTTTTTTAAATTATGACATATCATCAATTGATACACTAATTAATAGATATAACATTATTCTTATATAACATAGTAGATTGTTGTGATTAATGTTCAATTATGTTAGCATTTAGCATTGGTGCTATTTGGAAACCAAAAGAAAAAAAAGTTGTGTTTTGCATCTTGGGCCAAAAAAAGTCAAAATAGCTATTTTGCCATCAAATCAAACCATTTAGGTGGTGTTTGGTTATCATTTTGGGCTAAATAATCACAAAAAGATTTTTTTTTTTTTAAAAAGTCAAAAAGTATAAAAAGTCAAAAATCACAAAAAGACATTAAAAAAAATCCACTATTCCAAAGCTGAAAAGCCAAAAAAGCCAATCAAGAATACCAAACGAACAAAAAAGTCTCAGGCTAAAAAAGTCAAAAAAGTCAAAAAGTCAACTAAAAAATTTATTGCCAAATGAAGGCTTAGGAAGGTAGCTAAAAGCTACCTGTAAAATTACAGTTATACCATTTATGTTGTTTAAATGAGCCACATAGGTAAAAGTAGTTATTTTCTAAAATTGATGGGATTATTTTGGTCATTTGATTATGATGTGACGCATAGCATTGTTTGGCAAGTTGGTTTGTGGCTAAAATCGCCACAAAAGATAAAATAGACTATTTTTAGCCACAACATACAAAACATCACATCCAATCCATAATCATTACACTTTTCTCTCACAAAAAAAGTAAAAAAGTTCTTCCCGAATCAAGTTTTTTAGCCTTGGCTAAAATAGTCAAAAAAACTAAAAAGCCAACTCACTTCCCAAACGGAGGCATAAACAAATATTAAGTAAAAAAGTCAAAAAATAACTTTTTACCAACTTCTCAAATAACTTTGTGAGTGTTTGGGAAGTGAATTTTTTTTGTAGGTTTTTTTAGTTGTAGGATATTATTAGAGTATTTTTTTTTTTATGTTTGAGAAAATAGTTGAGTTTTTTATTGGTTAGATGTGATATTTGTAAGAGA